TTACCACATGATTTTAACTCAGCCCAACCTGTCCACCGATTCCCCCAAACTTGAGGTGCCAGCCTATTCGACCAGTCTTCTTCTATTTTACTTTCCTGTAGGCAAATTACATCAGCTTTCCATTTATAAAGAAGGGACTTTATTGTTTCCCTTTTCCCAGCATCATTCAACCCACACACGTTCCAACTCAAGACTTTTAACTTCATCCAGAGAAGGATTTATAGTGCCTGCCCCTATCTCGCTTGTCACCTCCCTCATAATTTACAAGACATTTTAATTTTTCCATCTCCTTTTCTTTCTTTGACTTTCCCTTCTTTGACGCCTGACTTCTTTGTTTTTGTTGCAGCTGTAATTGACGCCTTTCTTCCATTCGAAGAATGATATCAAGAAGCTCGTGTTCAAAGCCTGATACATTCACTCCGAAAGCTTTACATGCCTTTACCATCTTCATTTTAGTCCACTTTGATGTCTCAATCACCGTCGGCTTGAAGCATACTTGAGAGCTTGACCCTTCGTCGTACCTCGTGAGTTGAAGGCTCTCGGAGTTGAGGGAGAGTTCAGAATCTGAGCTGCATACCAGAGACATCTCTGGCGCCGGTTGGAATTGTTGGAGCAGAGCTCTGAGCTCTACATGTGGTTCTGTTTCATCATCTGCTTCAGAATTAGTTTCTCCCTTGTCCTCAGATTTCATGCCACTTTGATAGCAGTTTGGCTTATCCGTGAGAGGATCATATTTATTATCTAAAGCCAAGACCTCAAACCGGTTGACGCAAGGGTCCAAAAGAGGCCCTCTAGCCCGCCAGAGAGGTTGAGATTTTTTCTTTTGAGACTTTTTCTTTGGCCCCGTGATGTAATAATTTCGATCTAGGTTCACCGCTTTGTTTTTACCAATAGTCTGGCCCATATCTTTTGACCTGGTATTATTTGATACTGCATCTTCAAGTTTTAGACCCATATCAATTGTTCTGCATAGCGCCACATGGCCCCCCACGTGGCCAGACTTGACAGCATTTTGAGAGCTCGAGAGACCAAATCTAACAGCCCCATCAGTCTTCAGCGTCGCTACTTTCGACGTTGCCATAGTGACTTCTATTTCTCCTTTTCCGATAGGACTGGCTTTCACAGAGGTGTCTGGTAAGATAGTAATTTCAAACTTTCATTTTTAAATTGTAATGTCTATGCTTGTTGGAAGCACATCCTGACAATCTTGGACACATATGCGATGCGAGCCCAATCGAGGTGTGACATATTTTTTGTATCTTCATCAATTCCAACATATCCACCGCAACGATTTCCGATTGAACAGAAAGTTTCCAAAGACCAAGCATGTAGAGGGACTCCAAAAGCTCTGAGCCATTTTTTACCTGGGCTGTCAACTTGCCGGGGGCAAACCAGTAGTCGGCGACCACCAATCCAAGGTGAGATGTCTGCCATTCCAAAAACAATCCCCTGCTTTGACTCTTGCAGCTTCTTGCCTAGAAGGGAGATCAAAGAGGAACTGATTGTGGTTCATTGGTATCACCTTCATGCCAGCACTCAACCTCGATCTACTGATAAACCATTTCTGAATAACTTCAGTATTTGGAGTGCAGTTGAAGCTATCATTAAAACTTCCAACCAGACATTTAGACAAAAACTGATTCTTGTTGACGTCACCTCCGTTGTTGGATGAGTTCTCCCCTGAGTGAACTTGCGCTTCCAATCCTGGCCACTGGATAATTTTTGCAGTATCTACAAAAGACTGGTCCCCAATGAAGGCTGGCTTACGAATTTGTGGACTTCCAAGGAAATGAACAATTTTTGTAGCGATATCACCCCATCCTTGATTGTATGCATTCTCTGGTATTATTATGGCAGATTTCCTGTTTCCTGACCAAGTTTCAATTCTGATATAGCGTCCATGGATGTTGTAGTTCTGATAGACACGATATGTATATGCTTGGACCGTCCTTCCCCACCTTCTGTAAAAATTCCCCTTCCCCACGGAAGCGTGTTGATTGGCATCACATACCCAGCGAAGATTTCCTTCATCTAGCGTAACTTTGCTTGTGAATCTTCTATTGCGTTCTGTTAAAGTGAACCAACGATCAAACTTTTCCCTTGTATCAGCAAGCTCAAAAGATTTCTCACCTGCAATAAAAAAGATTTTTCCTGCCATCTTTTTTTTTTCAAAATACTATCTATAGCTGCTGGGTGTTTGGCTAATCACAAGGATGAATAGAGAAGAACTGAGACAACCACTGTTAATAGGATCCAGAAACGCCGGAAAAAGCTAATCCATCTCGCCGGCCCTAAGAGAAGAAGAAAGAGATGGGTTTTCTGAGAGAAAAGGAGCAGTCGCCGGAGAAAGCTAAACCATGCAGCCGGGATTTGTAGAGATCGTCGACGCTAAGGTAAAAAGTAAAATTGTCGGTGGAAGAGAGAGAAAGTGAGAGTAGTGGACGGATCTGTTGGAGTAAGGTGGTCGGAGGTTTTTTGAAGAGAGAGAGTCGGAAAAGGGGTCTTGGTTATGTCGGAAAAGGGGTCTTGGTTATGTCTGAAAAGTGATTGTAGAAAAGAGGGTATCGGAAAAGGGGTTTTTGTGACTTACCTCAGTATCCGTGTCTGAGAGCATTTTTTCAAATTCACCCTTATATCGCTTCATAAGTTCTATTGTATTATACGAGAAAGATTTCTGAGTTAGTCACTACAGCAGGTGATCTCTGCATTAGCAAATTCTTAAGGGAACCCCTAAATGACCCCAAATATAGGCTAACTATTGCATCTTCATCAATATGAAAGTACCATTTTGAGATTATAAGAGGACCTAATGCTCACATTAGCAAAAAAAATGTCACCAACGATAATATTCAGAAGAAAACACTTGACTTTTCCTTATCTAAAAAACACTTGACTTTATCCTTCTCAATAACTTCTTTCTTTGGAAAGAAAACGGACTAAACTCTAAATCTTACTGCTTCAGTGAAAAGATCATTACTGTGAGAAACAGAGCTGAACTCAACCGGAGATGGAAACCAAAGAACATAAGAAACGGGTAAACTAATCAGAAGCTCACCCGAACATATTCAAGGTCCTCTTTCAATTTAGCAAGTTGTTCAGAAATTTCTGTTTCTTGCGCCTTACCAGATGAAGTGCGCTGCTGTTTCTCCAAACGTCTTATTCTTCTCTCAATTTTTCTTCTCTCTGCCATAAATTGAAGCTCAATGAATCAATTCTGACACTAGAGCATAGCATTTTGAAGCATATGAAATGTATAAAGCAGAGAAGAGGTTACTAACCAAAAAATTTAACCTTCCTGTTGTGAAGAAATATTTTGCGTTCCACAGCCAGACGACTGTGAAGCTCTTGCTGTTTTTTGAGTTCGTCCAACTTCTGTTTTTGAACTTCTCTAATTTCAGGAGGCAAATCCTGGAAAATTATCCTGTTACTATGCTTTTAAACAAATTTGCACCTAAATCTTACACCACGTCAAGGTTTGAAAAATGCTAAATGAACGTGTTATTTTCCTACATTAGCTGTATGTCACTTGAGCGGGCTCAAAGTTAGAGATGGTTGATACAAAGCACAGAGCTTTGCTTTAAATCTATTTCATGCGAAACTACATTTGGGTCTCGAGTCAGGATGCTTGTCTAGGAGTCAAAACTAAGATAACAAAATTTACAGATTATGAATTCAAAGTGGAATATGGACACAGCAGCTTGACATTCAGAATGGGAAAAGATGTCATCCACAATCATCCAACATATTATTTCAAAGGATGTTTATATACTAGACACATAGTGGGAATACCATAAAATCATTAAATTGATGTTATACTTGATTTAACTAAAATCCAATATAACTATATGCCATTCAATCAATTAACTACGTCTCGATTACAAATCAGTTGCAGTCGGCAATATGGATCCACTAAATCGAATCCGCTGTGTTATCTAACTTATGTGTTCGAATAAAATTGCTTGGTCAACAAAAGAAGATTTATTGCAATAACTAGTTTGTTGCTTCTGTCTGAAAAGAGTATCAGTTGTTGCTTATCACAAACACTAGCTTGTTGCTTATAAAATCAAAACAAAAGACAGATAACATCAAAGTTGAGAAAAGACAACAACTTTAAGCCACCCCATGCTGTGCAACTGCTAGTTCAGTTAAAAAATGCAAGCACCATCTAAGATGTATAACTTCTGCAACCAACTTCAACCAAATTTAAAATTACATTTTGCATCGCAAAGCAATATCGGCAATAGCACACACAGATAAAATTTTTAAAAAAAGGGCATCTTCTGAACCCCTCTTCTCATAAAGTTCAAGTTTTTCTGAAATTAGCAACAATCAATCCCATTTCATGGTGCTCTAGTATATATACTCCTGTTATAATGCATGATTACTATTTTGAATTCTGAGCAGTTTTTTCTTTAACTAACTAACTGTTTAAAAAGTTTTTACTATACAAAATTGCTACATATAGTATCTTTATACTTTATAAAATACCTAAATTTATCAACAGGGAAAAAAAATTAAGGGGAGCCTTGGCGTAACTGGTAAAGTTGCTGCCATGTGACGGGGAGGTCACGGGTTCGATCCGTGAAAACAACATCTTGTAGAAATGCAAGGTAAGGCTGCGTACGATAAACCCTTGTGGTCCGGCCCTTTCCTGGACCCCGCGCATAGCGGGAGCTTAGTGCACCGGGCTGCCCTTTATCAACAGGGAAAAAAACAAAAAGAGGGTATTTTCAAAATCACTCTTTTTATAAAAAGTTCTAGTCTTTCCAAGAAATTAGCATTAATCAACCCCATCTCATGGCACTCTAGTGTAGCTACTCCTGTTACAATGCACCATTACTATTTTGAAGTCAAACTGTTGTTTCCTTAACTAACTAAATCTTTTACGTAATAGTTTTTACTATACAAAATTGCTGCTTATAGCATCTTATATAACTTCTAAATAGCTAATTTATCAACCAAAAAAAAAAGAACAAAAAAATCAACAGAACTAGGAACACAAAAGGAGAGAAAAGGGGTAAAAATATATACTTTGCGGAGCATGCGTTCGATGGAGCGCATTTGATTCTTGATAGAAACAGCCTTAGCCTTAGGCTTTGACTTTGATTTGGATTTCTTATCAACAGCTAAAGATTTAGGTTTGGGTCCTCGCCGGTTTCTGTTGTTAGCGGCGTCAGGAATTTTGCGTTTCCCATAACCACCATGCCCCATAATGATATCGAAACAAAGGGCGGCACTGAAATGGGAGCAATTCTTTTCTAGAGAAGAAGCCTCAGCTGTGGATCAGACATTGTGCGACTCCAATGGAGTTTGTTCAAGTGATAGAAGGAGCTAGGTTTGGCTCCCTGCTGTTTTTCCTTTTTTCTTTTCTTTCACCTTTTCTTTTTAATGAAGAATGAAGAATTAACCTATTTTCTTTTTTAACTTTTTTTCTAAGGAAGAATTAACCTAAATAGTAATTATGTATAATTAATTTATAATTATATGTTTCGGTTAAGAAAGGTAAACGACTACTTTGTAAAGATCCCCTTTTTAATTAGAGGTGGTACAAATCAATATTAGAACAAATAGACTTACCGCGATTGATGAGGAAATGGTTCGAAAATAAATATTTTGTATTTTATTATTAGATTTCTTTCGTGTAAAAATAAAGTTTTAGTTGACCTGACGTACAATGAGATGCTGCAAACATAATCGTTACGTTTAAAAATAAATTACGCGTGAATTATAATAAAAAGTTGGGATTAATAATGTAGACATTGTAATGCATAAGATTATCTTTCAAGGAGTGTTCGGTTCTTTGTACTGGAAATGGAAATGAGATAAGGTGTTGATGATGGGTTTGAGGAGAAGGTACTTGAGACCTCATCTTCAATCTTTCCCCATTAACACTAAAAATGTTTATTTCAACGTAACGAAGCTTCAACTCTTCCCTATTTTTGTCCCCAAAATAGGGATTAACAGTGTTTCTTCAAATATGGGGTACACTATTCATCTCCCCATTACTATTCATGCTTTGTTTATTATTATTTTATTATTTACTCTTTTAATTTATCTCTTTATATATACCTAATTATGTTTATGTAATATCTTTAGATTATTAATTTTACATTTTAACTTTAGCGTAAAATTATGATAAACTAAATTTCGTGCATTTATTATTTTTATGTAAAATTATAAATTAATTTTATTATAAGTTATAATTGTACAAAAAATATATAATCATCTCAAAAAATGAATGGTGCGAATATAAAATATTAGATGTTCCTAAAATTGAAAAGTAAAAATTGAAAATACATTAAAATTGAAAATACATGAAAATCGAAACTACGGTAAATAGTGTGAGCACGTGATTTTTGCCTCACACGAATTACTCCAAAAGAATTCCCAAAATTAGGTCTTTTCTTTAATTATGTGTTATTCTAGGAATTACTATGCCATTTTCCTAATTGTTTGCATGTTTTTGTGTGCATGTTTAATTTTATTATATCATTAAAAAAATACAAAAATATAGCATCTGCACTTAGAATTTGATTTTTTACATTTTTCGGGTTAATTTAGTAAATTGTTGTTTTACAAAATGAAAAATCACAAAAAATAACGTATTTTTGCATTTTAGTGTTTAATGTCAAAATTTTGTGATTTTCTTTTAGTTTGGTATTTAATTATTTGTGATAATTACTACTTAGAGTTAGTTAGTATTTTTAGGATAATTTGGGAATTGAACATCAACGATTGAATAGGGGCTGCCAATAATAGTGGTGCACTAGCTATTTAGATAAAAGCACTAAATTAATGGACAATTAAAGAATGGAAAGGATAATTTGGTAGTGGAAATGACACTAATTAGTGCCCTTTAAAGGGCTGATCATCAGAGCTTAAAAGGGGGACAAGCGTTTAAAAAAAAATCGCTCCTTGCTCCACCAGTCGCTGGAGCCTTTGCTGATTTTGCTACTTCTCTGTTACTGAATGCTAGCTCCTTCCGTTGCTTCATTTTCCTTTTCTTCACATACCAGGTACAACTCAACCTTCAAAATTGAATCTAGACATGGATTATTGCAAATTAGTGGTGGAATGTTTGTTTGCCTGAAATAAAAAATGCTCCTATGTTTTCTTTTATATATTTTATTTTTCATGTCTTGCAAACTCACGGATTCTGTCACCTTAAGGCTAAAATTCTTGGCTAGAAATTACAGTAATGTTGCCCATTTTTTTAAAGTTAATTGTCGTATGGATATAGTATTGCGTTTGATATTTTAGCCTTAACCTTTAGAGTTAGTGCTTGGGAGTTGTTTATGTTCTGGTCCTTGGGATCGAGTTCACTGTTTCTTCTATAAGCCAGCAAGAATTTTGTTAACATAGCAAATCCCGTTTCTCTATACTGGGGGGTGATAATGATACAAACTGATTTTGTGTAGTTAATTTGATTTTCCATGTTAGTTCGTACTCTCTGTAATGCGTGGATTAATTGGAGGTTGAGTGTAATTATTTTGTTGAAGGATTTAGATCATGGCATCGTCTTCTTTTTAATTTAATTGTTATAGTGTTCATTTGGTTAGTCTTTGTCATATTAACAGTGAGCACTTAATTACTAATATGCAAAATATAGAATTTAGTGATTGCAAGATGTTGAGACATTCATTGATTTTTGGTTGTATAACGAGAGTTACTATTCCTAGATATGATTTTGTTTATTTTCTTGTCTTTATATAAGCTCTATCCCTTGAATCAGTAGATTTACTTAATTGAACTCATGTGAAAAATATTTGTTCTTATCATTTTTTTCGCAAATCAATGTTCATAAAGTTAGGGCCTCTCAATAATCTCAAAGTAGTTTAGGAGACAATCTTGAATATCTGTGGTTTGTTTTAGTCGAGTAAAGCCCTTTGGAATAATTTCAATCTTAAAATACATGACCCTCGCTTAATTAGTATTTTAATCCTTAGAATTCGAGGCATGCCACTTAGTTGATTTTCCATGGCCCTCGCAAAGTTGCAAGTGCAGAGTTGTTGTAGGCGCGTTATTTTAATAATTTACCTTCCTAAACCCGGGTGCACATTTGTGTGACCCAAATCCAAATCTCAACAACGTTAAATAAAATGTGTTGCGAACCACGGGTGCATTTATATAGCGTGGATTACGATGTGTTTTAAATAACTTTGAATTTTTTTCGAAATATTAAAAGCGGCTAAAACAATAGCTTTTGCTTTTGCTTTTACTTTTGCTATAGTATCTTGAAATATCAGATTGAAGTGTTTGTGCACTCAAGTGATGGAGTAAGGATTCTCTTTTAGCATTACACATTACGTATAACACAAATTAGAGTAAATATACGCAATTGTGAAGCTTCTTTCTCTGATGTTTATTTGGCATGATTGATCCATCTCTTTTTTATGCATTCAATTAGTAGATGGTTTATTTCCATACTTGAGCCTTTTGTTTTAAAATTGTTTAGCAACCGAACCTCATATTTTGATTTGAAGCAATGAAGATTTTTGGCCGTTTGGATTTAGATAATTCAAGTCTGGTTGGCCAAGAGCTAATAAAAATTCACAAGCTAGTTTCATCTTTCTGTAAATAATCTATTTCTTTTTTCTATATTAATTTCCATAACATGGCCTTCAAAATAATCTTAAATTAGCTTTAGAAAATTAATTTATAAACAACCTAGTTTGATTTAGGCACGATTGTTAATAGATTATCGTGGCAATGGGCACGGTTCCCGTGACGTAGTTATGATACCTAATTCCCAAATTCGGGGGTGCATTTCATGTGACCCGATCATGACAACTTCAAACAATAATAAAATAAACATGTCGCGAATCCCGGGTGCATTTCATGTAGCATGATTCGCGGTGTGTGCCAAAACGGCAAGTGTACGACAATCGTAACTTGTTCAAGAAATAATTCCATAAATCCTAAAAGCGGTTTAAAATAATTAAAAAGCGGTTATAAAGGCTAAAAATGCACAATAAGTTTAAAACGTATAATAAGTCAGATAATTAGGCCAATTATAATAGTTTAAGCGACCGTGCTAGAACCACGGAACCCGGGAATACCTAACACCTTCTCCCGGGTTAACAGAATTTCTTACCCAGATTTCTATTTTCGCGGACTGTAATACAGAATCAATTTTTTCCTTGATTCGGGATTTGAACCGGTGACTTGGGACACCATAAATTATCCCAAGTGCGTCTCTGATTTAAATTAAATAATCTCGTTTCGATTGTCACTTAAATTGAAAAAACTCCCTTGCACCCTTCGGGGTGTAGTAAAAAGGAGGTGTGATAAATAGCATAATAACTTAGTAGGGAGATATGTCGTTTCCAGATACACCAAAATCATTATAGTATTGAGTGAAATGTTCAAGCAAGCAATTCAGATGAATAATTATGTGTTGCAATGTTTGCAAGAAAATCGAAATAATGATCCTATCAGAGTAGGCTCCGTTCAGGTCATTTGGTAATCAATCGAGATCATGAAGGTGCTGATAATAATTTATTTCTCGATTATTTTTCAAATAATCCCCACTTTAATGATCGTCAGTTTCATCGTAGATATCGGATGTCCTACAATGATTTCACTTTTATTTGAATTATTAGTTAATCTATAATAATTGCTTACAAATTATATTATTTAAAATTTGATGGAATTGTTTTAATGGAAATTACAAATCAATGAAAATAAAAGATGGATTTTTTTTAATGGAAATTAAAAAAATAAAATTGAAATGAAAGATAATAATATAATATAGAAAAGAGAGAAGAATATAAAAAAGAATATTCTCTTTTGGGGGGAGAAATGGGGGAATGGTCGGAGTAAGTTGTCCCCAAAATGGGAAAATCCCCATTATGAGGACCAAAAATGGGGTAAAGGTTAGAGCTCCCCAAATGGGTAAAGGTGGGAGATACCCTAAATGGGGTAAAGGTTGGTAGCAAAAAAGGTCGTTGTTACAATAGCTAAACCTCAATCTCAAGTAAGTAAGAGTCGGCTATCTCAATCCTCATCGTCCATGTTGCTCTATTTAAGCTCAACTCAATCTAATTTTATATAGAATAAAATTAGAAGTAAAATAAAAGGCAATAGAAGTTATGAAAAAATGTCATTACTATGGAACCAAAAAAGGATTTTATTATACATTGTGGGAAATCATTCTCACACAGAGTACAAGTTATCAAGAATCATCCTTTGTACAGTATAGCATCATTTCTCTTGATCAAAAACTTGTAAAATGAAGTGATCTCAGCACCATCACCCCTTTAAAAAATGAAATCACATTTGGCTTTAAGTGTTTCTAAAACCTCTCCTTTGAGTTGATGGTTCTTCTATAAAATGTGGGACTCTTTTCCCAAATGGAGATTTTCCCTCTTAACCAACTGTGGAAGAAAAAACAGTAAAAAAAAAAGAAAGAAACCTTTAGTTCTATCCAACTTTGATTTTTTCTTTGCAAACTTTTCTAACTTTGATGTTCATATTTCCTATACATTTCCTGTAACTTGCACTTCCTATTATCTGCAACATTCGCGAACACTTTGAATCATGCTTGCTCCTTGTTTCTTTTCTTCATTCTTTTTCAGCAACCGATAAGAAGCCAAGAACTGACGATCCAATAGAAAACCTATACAACGACCTGGCATTCATCGTAGTTGGTGTAATGAGTAAGGTGCAAGCTCAATTATTTTCCTTGAGTTGTTTGGGATTGAGGCGTTGTTGTTGTTTGTTTGTTAATTAACTGTGATCACGGGTTGTTCTCCTTCAAGTTCTGATATCACTATCAGCAAATCACCCGGTTCAAGAGAAAGGGGTTCTGATTTCGGGATTGGGTTGATAACCTGCAATGGATTAGGCACCAAGTTGAGCTTCTACATCCCTTTTTATTTTCAGAAGCAAATCAAGATTCTATACCTTCTTGTTGTGCTTCACATATCCGATAGCAACTTCTCTTCGCAAATGTGCTCTTTCAGAAAGTTCAGCAAATGAAGGTTTCTCATCTTCCTTCATGTAAAGGCGAATGTCCTGTAATGTAGGATGAAAGGAGTCATAACGAAGTTTTCCTTCTCTAAGTTACTTTTAGGTTTTTTCATTATTCGAGGTGTTTGGGGAAGAGGGGTAAATGAAGCAACAGTACAACTACACCTCAATCCTAAGCTAGTTGGTGCCAGTTACATGATATAATTCTCACTGTTCATTACGCTCCATTTTTGACAAGTTAAATTTTAATATTCAATAATTTAGGTTTTTTTAGCACTAGATGTTTTCTACATTTCAGAAAAATCTCTAGTAATATTAAAAGGATTTCCAGAAGAAACGGGACTTAAGAGCTAACTGACATGACTCTGTCTTAGTCCAAACTAGTTGGTATTGCCTCTATAGATAATTTTTTACCAATGCATTATATTTTTTCGCTAAGTCTGCATGGAATTCAAGAGATTGTAGGTTTTTAGAGACAACTTTCTTCCTTGTGATTTTACGTCCACACTTTCAATTATCATGGTTTCACACCAACTGACAGGTATATCGGGAGGTGTACATACAAACATAATGACCAAACCATCTCAAGCAACCTCCCATTTTATCAGGTATATGCTAGTGCCACTTTGGACCTTTTGTCGAATGTGATTATTATAATGTTGTATGATTGCACATCTATCTTAAGATTTGCATTTCTGCGACACTCATCTATTGAACCTTAAAGGCCCAACTTTTACTCTCATATAACATTGTTATACAACAATATAAAAGTTGCATTTCGCTTTGGTAGGTATCCTCATTTTGCGTAACACTCCAACAGCACTTCTCCATTTCTACCATTCGATTTTAGTTCTATCTGTTACATCTTCATATGTCATACCATTATCCTGAAATGCAGATCCTAACTATCTGAATTATCTACATTAAGCACGCAAGCCCATGTAATATCACATCAACTTCACTTTTCTTATGATAGCTGAATTCGCAGGCATATATTATGTTTTACTTCTACTTATCCTAAAATCATTCTCTCTCTCAGGAAACACATGCCAATTCATTCATGAACTAGACCTGCCGCAGAGAAGTGAAGTTTATCTGAAGATTTACTTCATGGGTTCGAGATAATTGACTTAATAATCTTGATTTAGAAGTTAACATTCCATCGGTGTTAGAAGAAGCTAATTATTACCTTAACATATATTTCATCTCCATCGGCGTTCAAAATCTCTTTCCAAACCTCATTCAATTGAATATTTTCTGCAACTGTGCCAGAAAAAAAGAAGAAGAATTAATTCAGAAATCAATTAAAATCTAATTAAGAAGAATTTATTTTGGCTTTATTAGGAAATAAATGAAACCTTGAGCAGTGACAAGACTCATTACTTCCTCTGCGGCAATGTAAGTGAGGGAAGGCTTGATTCTTGTAATCTGGAGAACAGAACATTCACAAAGGCCATCAAAAGTCCACAAATAAACCAAAAACAACCCTTTGTTAGAAACAAATTACCTGTTTACCCAATTTGGAATCGACAATTTCTGCAACAAGATTTTGCACCTGCAATTTGATCATTGATTCCGCACAGCAGAAAATTGATGAACCAATCAGTAATGTTATTTACCATGAAAAAAAGAATACATGAATAGTGATAAAATAGGAATGTTTTCTTCAAACATCAGGATACCCTGATCAGAAGATTTGAGCAGCACTTTAACCATTACATAACAGGTTCAAGTTTTTATGTGTTTTCTCTGGTAATAAGCAGTCAGCAGCTATGTTGTAAAGCCTGTATAAGGGATTATTATCTTGCCAAACTTCAACACAATTCAAAATAGTTTAAATTTAACAGTCTATATGATAAAAAAATATGATGCAAGCTAAGAAAAGAAGTTATCCTCTTACGGCAACCCCCACCCCAGTACCACACGAATAACATACTCATGATGAAGTAGAAAGAAAACCAGTACATATATATTTCCAAAACTACCAATATATCATGTTTTATTCTCCCTAAAACCCTGTTGTCCGTGCAAGTAACAAATCAGCCATCAACCTCTCTGCGTACTTAGACGCATTTGAACCTTGTCCGGGAGCATCTTACACACTGACGACAACAACAACAACAAACTCAGTGTTATCCCACAAGTGGGGTTTGGGGAGGGTAGTGTGTACGTCGACCTTACCNTATTTAAATATGCGTTTATACCAGAAATAAGAAAATACCATTTCTCTTACCTCCTAGTAACCATTCTCTATCAGATATCACGACAATGGAGAATGGAAATTCTTCGCCTTGTTTAAATGATTTTTGAATGTTTGCAATGGTATCTGTCAGCATGTCATAGTCCATTGGGTTTCCAATCTGTAGCATATTACGAATGTGGACAGATTAAGATGGACAGATCTAAATCTAGTCCAGATAATCAACATAAGATACTGAGTCAGAAATACCCTGTGGGAGACTCGGACATTTTTTAGCTTTCCTTGACCAGCAAGTCTGCTAGCTTTATGTCTGTCATCCATAGGGACATCTGATAACACCTCCTACAAGTTTATGTGACGGAAAATGAAAGGATTAATAAGAAGACTTAGTCTAAGTAAGTAAATCTACAGGTACTCCGTCAGAAAGTCCAACAGATATGGTGACTAATTCAGATGCTAATCCATAAATGCTTCTTCGTTAATTATCCAATTTTATCAGCCTATAATGTAGAGGTTGGAAGTGGATGTCTTCCATTGCCAGAAGAAGAGCATGACTTACCAGTGTGCTTCCAGGTCCCAGGTAATTATCATATTCTTCAATCATTTCCACAATATCAGGACGCCATCCCAGCATTAGTATGCATTCTTTAGGTCCCAGACACGAATCAGATGCCTGTATTCAGATGCTTAAAAGTTAGTTAAGATACACAGTAATGGAGGTGGCAGGTGCTGTAAAAAGTTAGCTAAGATGCACACTAATGAAGGTGGCAGTTGCAGCAACCATTCCTAAGTATGTTATACCTTAGACCCTGATTTTGTCCGTTTCACTATATTCTCAAGGCGTGCTTTTGTTATCTCCAAAGCATTACCCCGGAATTGTCCATTCTTTTCCACAGTGTGAGAATCATTTAGGGCGTTGTCACTTTCGCCAGAAATATTTAAGTATACTAGCTGCGGCCTTTTTTTCCCATGAATGGGTCCAATAAACAAAACCTGTATACATCAAAGTGAGAGAATCAGCATCAAGTAAACTAAATTAGGGACTGTAGCAAAATGTAAGGCATTATTGGCAGAAAAGACTCTCTTTCGCATTCAAACTGATAAAATGTCAAAGCTTAAAGCAAGAAGAAATATTCACTTCAATGGAAATCATGAAAGCAATAAATACCCGTCTAAGAATACATGTCACCTAGTACAGTGTCATACTTAAAGAAACTCAATTAGCAAGTCAATCAACCTGCTTCTAGTTATTATTTCTTTGTCCTACTTGAGACTAATGTAGTCTGCTTATACTAAATGCACAGTTTACAAATCAATGAGCTGCATACAATATCTTTAAAGGACATATGCAGAATAATTAAATCAGTATAAAAAGCAGGGTGCTGAGTGTATCACTGAAATTCTCATTTTTTCCACAATGACAATCCAAAACTATTTAACATATCCAGTTGGATTATTCATATGGGTGACACAACTGCAATATATAATGTTGAGAACATACTTCATCAGTTTCTTCCAAAACTTCGTCATCCCTTGGGTGGAAATTTATCTTCCCTTGTCGATAGAGACCGCAAACAACAGCCTGAAGGAAAAGCAGAATTAAAGATGACTTGAAGACCTACAAACTTTAAGAAATCGCTCGTTAAAACAATTCTAGTCAAATAACTACCTCTTGGAAGCCACGTCTTAATTGCTTATATTTTAATCCCACAAGGTGAGGGAAACTGCAAAGATTGAATACGTTCTCTGCCAGATGAAACGGTGGTCTTCTTAGAAAACAGTGTCCAATGATGACATAAGATCCATATACATTTTTATGCTAGTTTCACTGTCAGGATACAGCGAGATATAGGACATGATTATATGAACAAAAGAAACATACTACATAAAGCAAAAATTTCAACGGCCAGACACTTCAGACTTGAAATATTATCCCACAATTAAGGACAGAGCAGACTTCCAGTTCGCTGAAAACTTTGAGAAACTTAAGAAGATATTAGTGCTTTGAAATATGCACCGGATGTCCAAAGTTCAAGGTTATGGACCACGAAATCGTAACGTCTTAAAGAACTTAGCTCCTTACCAGACAGAACAAAAGACACAATCAAACTAAAGTTGATTTTGTCACAAATGGCTACAGGCAGATGAAGTAAAAGAACCTAAGTAGCCATCATAATCAAACAAACTACATGATATTTAACTCAAGTCTACCAATCCACCGGTGGATGATCCACTCTTCGACAAAAATTAAATGCATTTGAGACCATTATCAGAATGCAGCAGTTAAAACAGTGGAAGACAATGAGAGACATGCCAACTCTTCCTTTTCAGGTTATGCATTCGATAAAATGAATTCATGAAACCAAGATGATTTAACTGAGAAACAGCACATTACTTCGATAATTAAGCAAATGTTTGTATATCTTAATGAGTCCCTTTTGGCGAGAGCATTGAACAAACAATTTTGATGTGACATTTTGAACAGGTTCCACTCTTAATCCTGAAATTGACTTCAAGAGTTCACATGTGTTGTAGCTTGAAACCTGAAAGAAATCCGGGAAGGAGTCACTAACTTATAAATGATAATTCAATTCGGTTAAAATCCTCTTCCAGCGCAACATACCTCAACTATGGTAGGCACAGAGATCATTTCTGGAAGGGGCTGAAGGGCAAGCACTGAGAGAAATGCATCTGTGTCGACCTCATACCTAATTAAATAAAGAATATGGCAAATAAGAAAACAGGAAGAAAGCACAAGCACAAAATTCAAATTGTACGTAAAACGCCATTAGTTTAAAAGTAGATTAGTGCAAACATAGAAAAAGACTCAAAGTACCGTGCATAAAACTACTCCCACTAAGAGATCCCATTTCACATAAATTTCATCTGGTGCTCAGGGCATAAAGCCTTTCATAAGGTCTTGACTTGAGCACTTAAGTTGCAGATAACAGATTGAGTTTCTGTTGCATGGTTAAATGTGTTCTATGATTCCCACATGTTCTGTCTATGGCTTACAAGGACTTTTTTTCCAGAAATTATCTTCGGAATCAATTGCATACTGATTCAACCAATACAGAAAATAACTGAGAGAACGACAGACCACATTGAAACTCTAAGGTGTAAGTTTAACTATTACAAAAACACAGGATTATCTAAATTATGTACAGAAAATGTTTCAGTAACCTTAAAACCCAATTATAATATATATTTAGGATAAAAGAATACAGATTGACCTCTTTCAAGTGAAAATCAATACTTTACCCAGCTGCTAACGTTGTCAATCACTCTTCAATATTTTAAATTCTGATGAATATAAAACTAGTTATTTTGGATTTAGTTTTCTAAATATATTGTCTTGCTATTACTTGCTATCAGTGCTTGGTCCATCTTTTCTTTAGCCGAGGGTCACTGCGAAGGAAGGGCAGGGGTAAGGCTGCGTAACTACCCTCCCCAGACCCCACTTGTGATTACACTGGGTTGTTGTTGTTGTTGATGAAAACAAAACTAAGTACGTTGGTCATTTTCCAAATATTGAACCAAATGTCGGAAAAGTTTCAAATTCAATTGTCTTCCATCCCTTTGTCCACTTACCATTTGAAAGAGAACTAAAGAACAAGAAAATCGATACGACTAACATTTCATAATGTGCCCAAGTAAAACAAATCACTTGCCTATTTCCCTTTGTTGGAAGTATAACAATTGCGCGTGCCTTATTGGCTGCAGCTCTCTCAAATGATTTTGTCATACTTAAACTGCAACTGTTAGAGAAAACATATGAAATGTTAGATTGAAGGCAGCTGAAATTACAGCAACTTCAATTATCCATAGAATAGCTCAAGAAACATGGACAGACTGAGGCCTCATATCCCGAGGCCAAAGTCGACCTATGAGATTTTGCACGGCACAACAAAACCCACTAGGAAAGCCAAACTACAATCACACCATCAGCAATATATACAAGTTAGAGGAATTTCAACCGGCTCCCCCTCTTTGAAGTGAGGGAGATAGATGCACACACCATGCTCTGAAGTAAGACTGGACCAGCATCGGCTACGGAAATATGTATCTCAGCAACAGCATATCAAATCTCAGGCTTGAATTTGCTAATTACCAAGACTGGTTTAATAAAAACCTGATATTGTTTAATGCTAATTGAAGTCATGTTTTGGGAGTATTGACTGCTTTTTATGAAAAAAGTCAATTCGGATGAGATGTAGGTTCATATTTAATAAGGTTTCAAAGTAGACAAAGATCCTCAAATTAAGTAGCCACCCATAGTCAAAACAGAGTGGCGTGCTTAGCTCATGGAAAAAGAACCTCACCCCATACAAGAAAGGGTAGCTTGAAAATCTAATAAGATTAATAAACAAGTGGTTACCTCTCTCGAGACAGTATAAGTTTTAAGAGGATGCAGAGTAACATTATATAACATCATTAACAAAGCACATTTCACAAAGAGGGAATCCGGCAAAAATGATGTTTTCCATCTAAGCAGTTCAACAAATTGGATATTTGGAACAGCTAATGAAGCACTTCTATTCCATAAAAGAAAGTAAAGATTAAAGCTGATGGGCATACAACTTTGTTTGAGTATGCGTCTTCTATGATGTTCCCCTTGTTATACAGAACATACGCACATGGACCGGGTTAGTCGGTTTTTATCAAAACCAAACCAACTATATCGGTTTGGATTGGTTCGATTTTGTCGGGTTTTTGGGTTTTTTGTTACTTACATATCATTTCAATCTTACTTTGTTAAATATTTGATAAGTAAATATATATTTAGCAAAAATATAAAAACTTGACAAACATATCATCGATTAAAATATTCTTATGGGAGAATTCTCTTAGTAACATATAATAGTTATTTTTTTAATCGTCTGACAATAATTTTTCGTTGATAGACACTTTCAGGTTAACCTAATTTAGTAATTAAACATAAAAATCAATATGATACCTAAATATTAATAATCACTTCATATTTGAAAAAGATATAAGAACTTATTAGATCTTAACATATGATATGAATATGGAAGAACAAAGAGATAGACGCATTTCAGTAACACTTGATAAGAAAGTGATCATACAACCCATTATTTAAGGTCAATAAATATGGAGCACTTCATATTCTATTAAAATTTATATCCCGCAAGAGAATCCTAAATATTTCTATACATTTTTTAAAGAAAATTCTATATAAAATCTTAAAAATATATATAAAAGTTATATATTTATATGTCGGGTTGGTTCGGGTTTTTTACTCAATACCAAACCAAATCAAACATAACCAAGTCGGATTTTTTAATCGGTTTGGTGCGGTTTTTCGGTTCGGTCTGTACACCCCTACGCACAGGTGATCTATATAAGTAATGAAGTAGCTTCACTAGTGTTTAAAAAAGCGCCCGCTTCCTCGCTTTAAGCGAGAAGCGATGCGAAGCGAGAAGGTGCACGCTTCATATGGGTGAAGCGACTCAGGTATAAAAAAGCGACCGCTTCCCATTAAAAAGCGAGAAGCGATCAAGCGATGCGATGCGAAGGAAGCGACCGCTTCTGTGTTTTAAAACAGACCCAACCCTATTTTATTAAAAACGAAATCAGTTGTGTCTTTCACTAAACGAACAACAACAGCAGCGACTAGGGTTTTAAAGCAGAGCATCTGATAGCATCGACTAGGGTTCTTCTTCTTCAAGTTCAAGTCTTCAACAACAACAGGTATATTCTGATTCTTCTTCTTCTTTTTCTTTCACTGTTTAAACGTCCAAATAGCAACGAAATGCTGGCGAATTTTTTTTTACCTTCGGTTCTTTCTCAGAATTGATGCCAATCCTTGGGTTCTTCTTTCTCTGCCCAGTTTTTAACAGAGAATTACTGCCCTTCCTCTAATTTTTATATCCTTTATTCTTAGTTCTTATTTTATTTTAATTTAATTACTGCCCAGTATTTATTTTAATTTTTTTTTTTAAAATTCCGCTTCACTTCAAAAAGCGAGCGCTTCGCTTCTCGCTTTAAGCGAAATGGCGGTTGTCGCTTTTCCTCGCTTCACGCTCTTCACAACACTGAGCTTCACTAAGACTTGTTTGATCTTCTATAGCGACTTCCAGAACTTTGCACCCTAACAATTTTTGTTTCTTTATGAAGCGATTCTGACCTCTTTGTAAGGACATCAATATGATTGAGATCTTTGGTGATGTTGTCGGCCATTTTGTCCATTTGCTTTCTTGGAAGATCAGATAGCAGAAGAATTCTCTGCCGCCTGCAAACAGGTAACAACATTTGTAATACTTGCAGCACTGTGCATGGTTTTGTACGGTAAACTCTAAGCAGAGTGATTACCTAGCAGTGGCAGTACCTAAGCGAACAGCAAATTCATGGTACTTATTTAGCTGTTTTAGTATAAAGTTGAGATGACTGTTAACTCCACAAATTATAATATGATCAGTCTCCAAAACTTGCATTTGTGCCCCTTCTCTGAGTCTTTGCATATTATTCTGTCCAATTTCATGTCAGGGGACTGTCAAAGCTTGAACTTGAATGTAGCATTTTTCGGGAGCTTACCCGAAATTGTTCAGTCATGGTGCTCAATAGACGAGAATAAAATAGAATGCCCCATATAGCAAGGATGAATCCTATTACACGTTCAACTCTTGTTCTTTGCTGCAGTCAAATGCAAGTCCTTTTAGTATTGATAATTGTTACGATCTGCATATTGCTAATTAGTAAGAAGATTACATTTTATCAAAAAAATCAAATGTGATAAAGATAAACCACACTTTCAGGTGAGTAGATGATGAACAGAGGCATGCCCACGCCTCCCATAAGCAGTCCTCCAAAGAGTAAGCACTACCCCTGCTTTTTCTGCAGAATGAAAATATCCAGATCAGCAAACAAACATGTGGATAGGGAAATAACTGGAGAAGAAGATCGGCATATCAACAGACAAGGAGATAAGATTTGGTTGAATAATTTCCCATACATAGCTTCAACAAAATACACTATCAGAACAAAGCTGTAGACAACGACGATATAATGAAGCACAGTGAAAGCAAGTGATAAGAATATCCCATGTCTAAAATAATATCCATAAATTTTGCTTTTAATCCGAAAGCAACTAAACCACAAAATTTTGCCAAACTTCATACAAGGTAAAGTTAAAAAGTGAAGAAGAATCCTAATACACAGTGCTTTCAGTAATAGGAAGAAATAAAGGGAAAGAAAAGAAAGAGAAGGAAAGCAAGAAAAATAAGAGCAAAGAGAAGTAACATGACCGACTGGAGCATAGCATAAGTGAAGCCAAATAAACATGCTGGTTGCTTTATCATGGGTTAAAACCACGTCGGAACTTGAAGAAACTTAAGCCTCGCTTTGTACCTCTGGTGCAACTAAATATCCAAACAATATTTATTTTATTCAACATCCTAAAGAACTTCCAACTTTCTTAAAATGGTCATTATTAGTTGATAGTGGCTAATTGAGAGTATACTAGATGTTTTTCGCCATAAGCTGAAAGAATATATGGCTTGTTTTGTCACATATGAATTTTGGATGTAGCGTGTGTTTATACCAGAAAGCACGAAAAGCATCAAGTCTTTTGTGATTGTTCAAGTTGAAACTGGTGATTCTTCAAGTTTCATTTCCATCCATCAATAAAAATATTCTCACGTGCTTGCCGAAGGAATCATGCCTACATGAGAGGGGCATGCCGCAAGACGTGAAATAAATAAATAAAATATAACTCTACCAGCTTGTAGGATTTACTGGGTCGTTGTTGTTGTTGTTGTTATACCTCTACCAGCTTACACTAGGTAGTGCGGGAACAAAGGCATGAAAAATGGACAAAATGCTTCTGCTAAAGTTTTCTAACGTGCTTTAACAAGAAGATCATTGGAAAGTAATACAATAGGGGATTACTCGGCATTTGTAAACGAGAAACTTAATCTACTTATAGTTTTTCATACATTTGTAGACAACATCAGCACAAATAAGTATACCAAATATCATGTCTGAAAGAGTTTACCTGAATTTAAAGAACAGAACACCACCAATCATCACAAATGAGAAGCATGATACTAAAAGCACAATAAAAAACCTGCACAAAATGGAAAATAAATTATTCGGCTTTATCAGGAAAAATCAGAATAAGGTCTTGTGCGTCATGCAATTACCTCCTCGATGAATTTTAGTGAACGCACTACAAAGAACTACCATGTATATACGTTCTTCTAATCTCTTCATGCATTATAATCCTAAAGTAGCTAAAAAGATGGTAAGCCTATACAACGATGACAATTAGAATTCCGTTATTGCAACCCTACTAGTACAGGTCTATGAATACTGGAAAAGTTATAAGCATTAGGATTCAGGTCCAGAACAAATTAAAGAGGTAACAAATAGGAGTTTCCTGATTCAAGCCACATATATTTATTTTTAGGAAAAACAAATTTTTAATCTTTGTCTAGCACATAATATGATGTCATTTCGGCATCCATCATCGAGCTAAGCCATTAAGAAAGATAAATAGAAAAGCTACATACTACAAAGGAGGTACTTACGTGGCAACATTTTTCTCTAGTTGTATGTTGAACAAATATATTAACCGTGCTAAACTCCATTTGATGTCTTTCAGTGAAGGAAAGGACACATCCAACTGAAGTGGTGTTGGTTTATTCAAGGAGTTAGAAAGACAAGCAAAAGATAAACTTTGAGCGCCTGATGTTTGAGTTACAAAGAAGAATAACTCTCGGATCATCCCTATCTTCGTACCAATTAGATGTAGATGCTTCAACTTAATCAGGAAATAAGATGCCAACGAAGCTATTACAAATTTAGCTGGGAAGTCCTGCACATTTAAACATTCTCATTAGTAAATATTTAAATGATGTAATTGATCCAACTCTCAGCGTTTCCGATAAAAAAATTTGACATTGTAGAAACCAGTTTAAAGAAGAACACGCACAAATTTGGTCAGAAAATTACATCTCAATGAGATAGAGACTGGAAATATTCCTCAATATAATGGAAGTGGAATCAGCTAAAACATTGGAAGAACAGAGGTAGTTATATGCTCCCAATATGGAGCAGAAGTTCACGTCATCAAGAACCAGACTCACAACTTGATATTCAACTTTTCCTCATGAGATTTTTTAAATATTACATTAAATAACTGGAGAATTTGTAACCTACCTCAGTTTTCAGGACAAAGATGACATTAATATACTGCGTGCAGTATCGTAATTACAGAACTAACATAACAACCAAATATTTACTTCGTTAAAGATGGAATTTTCTCTGTAAACTCAAAAAAGGATTTTTCTCTCTGCTATGATAGAAGTTTTTGAAAAAGAAGTACCGATACTAGTTCCCCGTAGATTTCTGAAGGTGGTCAAGTTCAGATTCAAGGTGAGAACTGAATCAGAAGCAGATCATGAAATTCTAAATAGGATCCAAGGAGAAGTATGATTAAGTTTTATATGGACAGCCGTCAACATTCAGTTGCTTATCTCTTGATTGTTGATAAGACCAAATTCCCAAACTTAGGGAAAACACTACAGTGTTGAGAGATGTTATTTTGCCTCCGGTAAACAATTCAGAAGCAGAACCAAGAGCAACAAACTTGAAGATATCCGACAACAAATGATCCTGCACAAACCACATAATTCCTTTTTCTTGATAAGTAGAGGAATCATTGAACTATATATCATCCATGGCTGAAAGTAACATGGCTCAGTCAATTAAATCTAAAGAATTAAATACTACCTATACTAGAATCCTTAAAGCTTCTGTTTTAAAGTGAAACTAATTTAGAGTTGGTGGCAAGAAGCCTTTTGGAACCTCAGAATTATTCTTCAAATACATCTTCAACTGCTGAGGATTCAGATTTTCCCCGATATTCATGTTTCCTGAGGAATTTAGCTGTCTGCATGTCATCTTTTGAATGCTCGGCACCTTTCCTGGTTGAAGAGAGTAACGAGCATTACTAGGATGCAGTTCCAAAAAGGAGCTTATTTTTGGCATAACCACCCATCTCATACAGCATACAACAACAACAACAACCCAGTATAATCCCACAAGTGGGGTCTGGGGAGGGTAATGTGTACGCAGACCTTACCCCTACCCTAGAGTAGAGAGGCTGTTTCCAATAGACCCTCGGCATCCTTCCCTCCAAGAACTCCCTACCTTGCTCTTGGGGTGACTCGAACTCACAACCTCTTGGTTGGAAGTAGAGGGTGTTTATCATCAGAGCAACCCACCATCTCATACAACATACTGAAAATAAATTAACTAGATACTTACCTTTACTTTTGGCCAACCAGTCATTCATGCAAAAGGCAGAAGCACGGTTTCTCCGACAGGGACAAGCCAATGACTTTCTGGAAATTACAATCGCTTTAGATAAACAACGCACAAAAGGGGAGGTTCCATATCACATGAATAGTTTAGGCCGTAGCTGCCTTATGCACGAATATCTGAGCTTATGCATTCACTTTAACGTACCATCAAAAAATGTAGAATGCTTGGCCAAATTATGCTGTATTAACACTAACATATTTACTATTTCAATACAACCAACCAAATACCTGACTGAAAATGTATATCTAGTCCATAATCTACATACTATATGAATGAACCCTCCAAGATTTCAACCACGGTTTAACTTTACCCATCAAGAACTGTCACTTTAGAATATCCAGTATAAAATTGAGTATCTAGTGTTTCTTCAAGTTTGTTGAATTTGAAAGATGCGACATTTTGGTAGAGAAGAGGCTGGTACGGCTCTAGAAGAGACCAAGATCCAGTATTTCTACACACCCTTAGTCTGAAATAAAAGAGGTTGATTGAGACATTTCTAGACAACAAATTCAAAGAACATCATAGTCAATTTCAAATACACAGAATATCGGGACCAAATATACTTCCAACAGTCAACATTTTCCACAAAACAAATCAAGCAATTGCAGCAATTTCTTCCACCTTATGAAACTGTTCAGCTATTAAAGAAATATAGTTGGCGATCTATTCTATTCTGGTGGCAGCAAGATATGCAACTAACTCAAATGGAGGATAGTCCAACACTCACGACTCTGTTTATGAAGATGGATGAAACTACGGAACCAATAATAACAACAAAAAACCCAGTGTAATCCCACCACGTGGGGTTTGGGGAGGATAGTGTGTATGCAAACCTTGTGAAAGTAGAGACACCCTCGGCTCAAGGCAAGATGAAAAGGAAGATTAACAAGGATATCGTATTCAACTACGATACCAGTTCCATTTCTTAAACTATGTACAACGGAGCTGGTAGTCATGCTCTACAATGCACTGCAGTTTAAAACCAATTGCTAAATAATCCTATTCCATACTTACTAGGAGCACTTTTTACAATATCATTTCTGTTGTTCATAACTTCTTTTTCTTTTATGCCATGATAAGAACTATTGTGCACAAGACTACACCTAGAATACAACAACAACAACAACGAAAAACCCAGTGAAATCCCACAAGTGCGATCTGGGGAGGGTAGTGTGTACGCAAACCTCACCTCTATCCTGGGAAGGGAGAGATGTTGTTTCCGAAAGACCCTCGGCTCGAGAGGATGATTAGAAAACAATCGAATATCAATAACAATAGCCAGAAAAATGATAACAAACTATACCTAGAATACACTAGCAGGAATTCCAAAACAGGAGGTATGGCAGTCAATGGTAGCTCAATATGAGTGACATTTTTAATTACTTTAAGCTTGGCATTTTACCAAACACTTACACTAATAAATCACAACAATTATGTTTCTCAAAAACTGGACCATTATTCATCAGCATACTCAAGAAGAGAACTTCCACTGCATCTAAACTTCATTGCATATTTATATTCATACTAAACACATAAAATCTCTAACCCTCAATATCTAAAACATATAGATGACAAACATATACAGTTAGTTCTATACATGCATATACAAACAAACCTCTTAAAACGAGAAATCTGATTGAATCTTGGACTTAGTGTTGGAGCTGATGAGCGGGGGCAATGCAATTGAAGCATTTTAGCAGTAACCAATTCACCCTTTTCTTGTCTCAGGATTATGTAATGACCCTTTGAAGAATAACCAACAATGGAGATATTAAAGGCATTGTTTTCAACGAAATATTTTCAAGATTTTATAAAAAGAAGTTGTGTGCTACGATATAGGTGGAATGTGAGAAAATTAATTTGATGCGAATTTTTGGATTAATTTGAGAGATGGGTTGAAACTACAAATGAGTAGCGCTAATGGTGTGGAATAGTAAAATATATAAGTACACATCGAGGCAGAGCTTGGAAGTTAGCAGATGCTGATGTTTCAGTTGCCGTTTATTTACATGTTTGCCATTGGTAGCGAAATTTAGAATTTTAATTTGATGATTGAATCTTTACATATTTACAATTGAATCTATTAGGGGTCATTTGGTACGCGGAAAAATGTGGGATAAAGTGTGATACTAAATTTATATTATGTTTGATTGACTACCGTCAACTAAATAAAGTATAAATTTAGTGTCAGACTTAATCCCGGATATTTCATGTTATCTCACCTTATCCATCAAACTCGGTATTAATTTATCTCACTTCTCAGGTGGGATAAATTAGTCTAGAGATTATAATTTCAGGACTAGAATCTCGGGATAATTTAGTCTGCGTATCCAACGACCCCTTATATTTTTGAAATTATTGAGAACCTAATAGGTATTTATTAACAACAACAACAACAACAAAGTCAGAATAATCCTACAAGTGAGGTCCGGGGATGATAGTGTATATGCAGATCTTACCTATACCTTGAAGATAGAGAGACTATTTTCGATAGACCGTTGCTCAAGGAAAGATGAAAAGAAAGTAGTAGCAACAATAAGAAAAACAAAAGGAAAGGAACATAATATAGTAATAGAAATCTAACAATAATAGAATACAAGTTTTATATTATTAGTATGGGAAGAAACACTCTCTGACTACCTAATAGGTATATTTAAAATAGTAGTAATTTATTTACATATAATTTGATACTTCCATATCAGAAATATGAATTTTATACTTATGTATAATTCCCTCTTGATAAACCATATATTAATTTGTGCTCTACATCGGCCAATGGTATGTGGGTTCTTGTTTCTTTTTCTTTTTCTTTTTCCTATTAAAGAAAAATATCTAAAAAGGGGTCTCTCTAATTTTTCAACATAAAAATGGGATCACAAAAGTCTATTCTTTGCAATATCTTTGTCACCAATATCATTTTCATTTCTAAATTCCACACTTGTCATGATTTTCAAAAGTTTTCGAAATATACAAAAGTTGGGGTAATCTTATGGAGGGAAAATTTGCACTTCTGTCCCTAAATAATTAACAAATTTGTATTTTAGTCCTAGTGAGTTGTGATCACATGTAATGTTTAAATAATTGAAATATATAATTTTAATTCATCTCCTTGCGAATTGTCGCAAATTATTATCATGTTGTAATATTTAATTATTCATGTATTATGTTAAATTTTTACTATTGCTCAAATTTGAGGATAAAATAGTTTTAAAAATAGTCATGATATAACTTGGTTCCACATAAAGGGACAAAAAATACACCATTTGTTATAAATAATTATCTAATGGTGGAATATCCACTACTCTTCTTCATTATCTCTATGACTCCCACTACTTCAATAATTATGGAGTTATAGTTGTAACTAATGTTGTATTCTGGCCCGGGCCTAACGGGCCGGGCTTCGTGGTCCTGGGCTCTGGCGGT